CCCTATATTTAATAACTAAGAATCCCAATATAGGGGTTTTTGTGGCTTAAAATAAATAAAATATAACCCCACCTCCTTCTGGGGCATTTGTAAGACCGTTTCCAATCACATATCAAAATTTCAGTTTCTAGTTCGTAAAAACCGGCTCGGAAATCACGATATCCTCACTTTCGCTCAGTATCTTGGTTGTTGTATAGGATCTTTTACGAGGCCATAACTTTTGATGGAAGATGACCTGAGCCTTGTAACTACCATCATTGTTCTCGCAATGCTCCCAGGTAAGTGCACACCAATTTTCGGCTAAATCTGTAAAACTTTTTTTATACTGATTTCAGTACCGGAACCATCCCCCACTACACCGCCAATTGAGCATTCAATACCCAAATCAACTCAGATTCGAAAAAGTCTTGCACCAGCGCATCCTCTATTGTCTTCTAAGTGTAGCCACAAAATTTCAAGCCTAAACTCGTGGAATTGGCAGCGTGAGACGCGCAACAATGAAAGTGAGCTTCTTGGCTGGCCCAGCTTGTATGAGTCACCTCTGACCTTTTTTTTTTACCTCGTGGGGAGAAGGCAGGAACGGAAACGAGAAGCATGTCTTAATCCTTCGATGGCTAATGCGGCCGCCGTCGTAGCCTCAACACCGTGTAGTCACCTTTGTCGTGGCCGTTCTTTAGTCTCTGGTGTCCGTCAACAATACTGCTACAACAACAGCAACAGCAACGACAGGAACAATATCTACCTTCAACATCAACATGTTTCCCACAACCAACAGTGGCTGCCCTGGGACGAGAAGCTGATCATACCCGTGGGTGTGGACGAAGGCCGGCCTGAGGTTCTCCCTAAGGTCGTCGGCAGCGGCATGTAAGACGGTGTAGGTGGGTTGTTTGTGGGGCTAGGATGATCGATTTTCGAGTGTAGCCGGTCGGGAACGGGCGGGAGGGTGCGAGTCGGAATTGAATTTTGTGGGGTCTTTGGTTGAGCGAGCTGGGTAGACGACATGGGTGCTTGGGGGAGTTGGTGGGTAGACGCTGGAGCAGGCGCCGCATGTTGGTGTTGTGGTGGGGTATCCGTCCGTCTCGACTACGTTTGCCCTTGTTGTCCGATTTTTTGTTGGCTTTCGAACATCTCGGGAGCAGGCTCATGAAAAACCCAAAGCACGTTGTTGCTCGACATTAGGCAGGTCAAGTTTTCACCATTTCGGACCGTCCGAGATCCTTTTTTGCGTACATGTCAGCGCAAGTTACGATTTGGCCTAAACCCCAGCCCCTACTTCACTCCTCCATGATACCTCAAATGTATATTCATTCTTCGATTTCCCTGCAGAAATGAGGGGGGCGGTCCTGTTTGAAGGATGTCTTCCTTGCACTTTCCCGTGGTTCTATGGAACAAGTTCCTGGGGTCGTAATAGCTTATTTTTTCCTTTTCATTTGCGGTGCATCGGCGGCTTCCTTTGCTTTGCCGATGAATTTAGGTCTCTCGGGCTCTTGGGTGGCTACTGTTTCTACCAACGCATGACCACCTCAAAGCTCTTCTCCCTACAGAGGGGCGTGGTCGGCGGCCTCGTCACTGACGCTTCGTTCGATGGAGACAATCGTGGATACTTCGAAGGTATTGGGCACAGACAGTCTAACTCCCTGCCCACCACCATTGCCATGCATACGCTTTTTTTGACTCGAAGAAATGCCAACAGGTGTATATTGGTGTGGAAAGATGAATCTTGTGTAACGTCCCACGTAGGGCTTCTGACGGTTTTCGTCGGAATATTTTTGTAACCGGTATCCCTTGTATAGTATGTACTTGAAATGCATCCGCAAACCTTTTTCTAGCTAGCAATCAACGGTCAACACGGAACAATACACGCATCGGACAGTATTTCATCCAACCTCTCTACGGATAGTCTGAATGCTCACGAACGCTTTACTACCCGCATGTCGATCGCGATGCTCCGCCGAGAAGTCGCCGAAGAGTCAGAGGAGACAAGTAAAACCATAGCACCAAGTAAAACCATAGCACCGACATATCTATCTCTCCGTGATCTGCTTGTTGACTGCGGTATAAATTACGCATACAATAGAGGAACAATCGTACCGGGATCTTGGAGGTTACATCGCAAAAAGATCTGGGGCATGCTGCTCCTACTCTAATGAAATGCGTGCGGGCAGCAACACCGCGGGTGATCTATAACTCCTTCGCAACATCCCTGCGCTTGAGACAGCAATGTGACCAATACAGGAATGGTCAACATCGCGCGCCGGAGCCCGCTAGATGCACTTTGTATACTTCGACGTAAAGAAGTACATTTTTGGGGGAGAAATAGGGACAAGAATAGACATGGACCCCGGCCAGTGCTACTGGCTCCCACCGAAGATGTTCCCATGAACGGATCCTGGCTCCGAAACATCTTTGCAGACGCCCTCCGTGTTCTGCCAACAGTATCAGTACTAGCGGCAGCAGACGCAGTACGGGTAGATCTCGCTGCGTGAGGCGCGGAAGGGAGGGACATGCAAGCTCACTGGTTGTCGGCTATGTACCGAAAAGCTACCAAACCGTGTCCGACACCGCCGCCTGCCCAACATGGTATACTCTTGTCGTGCGAGGATGTGTGCTGAACCAGCATCGACTCAGGGTGTTGGCTCGTTCTCTAGGAGGTGGGAGCGTCCGGCCTCTTTCATGCGAGCAGGAACATATAGCTCCTCTAGTAATGTCAACCGTGCCTCTCTCTCTCTCTTGTACGGTCATCCGCAGTCCTTGCTCACATTTTGACCCTCTCCTCGCAGGGAAGAGGTTGCTCGCCGATGCGTCGGACAGGCACGTGTAACCACGGGACGGCGCTGAGGCGTGTGTGCGTTTCGGTCGCTCGAGCGGTGGTTGGTACTGCTGCTTGCCAGACCGTGTGAATCGCTTGCCCTTCACGCGTACTGGTAACAGAGCAGCACTAACCATCACTGGGGCAAACCAATCGCGGATACGCCTCAGCAACCCTCCCGTGGGTACCCGCGCCTGCCTGTCCGGCGCATTGGCTGGTCAACTACCCTGCGAGCAAACGTTTCTATACTCCCATGAAAATTTGCTTTTACCGTTTAAGTACAGAGTTGATAGTCCTGTGATTCCAACGGTTCACAATTGACAACTTGGTTCAACTCAGAAAACGTGTACTCCTGGATTTGTTTTTTTAATAAGCGCATCGTCAACGTCTGCGGGTTGCTCGTAGCATGCGCGAACCGCTGGGGAACCGACCTGGACACGATCCGCGCGAGGGGAGGGTTTCTGCTGGCGGCAGGGCCCCAAATGATGAAGAGGGTGAGCAAAATCAAAATTCTTTACCACCAGTTTGGCTGTCGACGGATGCGTCGTAATGTGTACCTCTGTCTGGAGGGCGGATGCCGGTGCCATGAGTTGCATTTTCGGAACCGAGCGACTAGATCCTAAAAGCCTCACTTGTTGTGCAGGAGTTTTCGGTGTTCGCCCAGGAGAATTGGTCGAAGGACAACTGTCTCGCTCTAGTACGATACTGTGACGGCATGCTTCAACGAGGATCATGGTCTTTGTGGTCCTGGCTCCACCCCCGCAGCAGTCAGTGTGGTATGGTCCAACAACGTGCTGTCTTACTTGCGGGTTCGAAACGACACGTACCACGGACACAAAATTCGAACTGTGGCAGGGTGGTATTCAGTCCCCCCCCCCCCGGCCATTCACCACCCAAGTTAAGAAACTAGCCTTCACCACATGACAAAGTCCCTCTCCCACGTTACTTCATTTCCTGCCATTCACCTCTTTCGCAAGGAACTGAAAACCCCTTGGCTGTGCAGTAGCGTGCGGACGCTCCCCCACCCCGCCTCATGCCCCTCGTCACCAGCGCTACTGACCACCAATCGGAGCTATGCTCTCTACCGTCGAACTCGCTTCTTTCCCGGACCTCTATTGTACCGCCGCTAACAGACGTGGGTCGGCAAGGACGGCAATGTCCGCTTCGACGGGAAGAGTGGCTCACTCATGGGAGTGTTTGACGCGGCCCCTGTGGTGCCCCCCTCTCCTAATCCCGATGGTGCTCCCGGTAGCGGTGCCGGCAATGTAAAGCGCCGCCATAGAGGGGGGAATCTGATGACCTGGCTCGAGGAGTATTTAAGGCGAGTTGTGTTTGTGGTTCCTGCTCTCATCAATGTTGCCGGCATCGTTGCAATGGTGAATTGTACGGTCTTGCTGCTCAGAGTTTGCCGCGGGGCAGGGCTCTCGTTAAACGCCGCGATACGTACGTCGCGAGGCCAACTCTGGCGGGGGATGCGATGATGTTTGATATTTGTAGTGTTGACGACACAGTCCCTGGGGGATGGGAATGTGGAAAATTCGCTCGCTCTAAGCATACTCCGTCTCTCTCTTGTCCTTTTCGCGATGGCGGAGCTCACCTGGCCCACATTTACGAACAATATTTGAGCAAGCAAGGGCAGCCGCACCGGCAAGGGGGTAAACTTCGCGAATGTCTTGATTTTACAAGGCGTACAATAACAAGAGCACATGCCCACGGGACCAAATTTGACCCACCCTAAACCGGGAACGGCAGTGAATTTATTCCATAATGAATGCCCGGGTTTCAACTCCTCATTGCTTCTCAGTTCCAAGCGGGGACTCCTTGCACCTACCGTGGCGAGCGTATCGCCCGACGTCTTCATGAGGGCACTGCTACCCGAGGTCAATGTGATGTGATGGAGCCCCCGTCCCGTTCATTTGACTACGTGATATGACGCTTCAAACCCAAATCCCCCCACCCCACCCCCACCGACTTGCGGACATTCGTCAGGCGCCTGCAGTGCGGCCACTACATGGTGCGGTCGAAATGGCGCGAGTCTATCCGACGGGCGGGCGAAGCGGTACCAAGGTCGCACCTGTTACGCGGTGTGTGGCTGTTCCCTGCGGAAGGAGGCGATGGCTGCGTCACGGATGTAACCCAGGTGAGCTGCGGCAACGTGTGGTTCTACAAGCGCTGTTCTCTCGCTGTTTTGTGCAGCTGCGTTATGGATGGGAAATGATGGCACGAGATGGTTATTGTCAGTCTGGAGGCGAAGGATTGGCGAGAGTTACGTTTCCTTCTGCCGTGGAGTGTCGTGTGCTGTACTGTGCGCAGTTTTTCCTGAAACCTGAGCGGATGTCACAGTTTGTTCAACTTGTACGTTTTTTCAAACGTGGCTATATATAGCCAGTGGCTATATAGCACAAGTCAAGATTCAGTGCTAAAGTGCAGCAAATTACTACGCGTAGAACCCCGAGGGCTAATCGTCGCTTCTTTGCCTCATTGGGGCAGGACCTAGGCACAGATGATCCATTACGTGCAGCGAAGATGATCCATTACGTGCAGCGAGGCTCTGTTTCGGAACGTTTTCTTCTCGTCCATGTTGGGAGAAGTAATGTTAGAGCACCGAATTACACACGTCCCTGCAAACGCTCGTTTCTTCGTTGCTCCGCTGCCGTTGCCGAACACGCCCTTCCAGGGGGTGGAGGTTCAAGTTTCCCCGGCTCTCGCGCCGGAGGAGTGTGCAGATCGGTGAGCATGTTCGCTCTGGTGTAGATCGGCTATCCCTAATCTTAACTTTGTTGATGTTGATGCATTTTATCCCTTGGTTGTTCTCTACGCCGAAGCGTTTTCTTGACACTAGACCTGGAACCCGATTTTTTTCTCCTCCTGCTAGAAGCGGCGAGTTGCTTCGGTGTTTCCCTGGATCTTTTTACGTCGCTGTTCCATGCCATATCTGAAATTCAACCGAAAGGTTATAGACGAAGGCCTAGCTAAGATACCAAGATGTTTTGGCGCAGATAATACGAAATATGAACCCGCAAGCCGTAACAACGAGGTATGTGTCGTTTCCACATTGGGTAATACTTGCCCGCCAAGGCGATCGAAACACACAATCTCTGCCATGGTTCCTAACGAAAATTTAGATACAAATTGTCGCTCAGACACACGAAATGATCAACGGTGAATCTCTGTCATACGAATAGAATACAACAACGAGGCTGTAGAGAGCGACCACCTTGTCCCAAGAATACCAACCAAGGTCGATTTTGGAGAGAGGTCGGAAACCAAGCCTTCCGACGCTTTCTGAAGGGCATGTTCCACACGAACGTGTACCCATTATCTCATTAGGGTATTAGAGCAAAAGAAACCCGTGGATGAGGGTGACAACGTCCGTCACGCGACGGAATGTCGATGGTTTGATACGAACTCTGCTGCATCCCCTGTAGCGATTTGGTTTTGTTGGAGGAATACCGGAGCTTCGTGTGCGCGCACATCAACTTTCACCATGCCTAGCCGGCTGACCATTAGAAGACGTCGCTTTTTGGTTGGAAAACACATACGTGTGTGACGGTATGTTGCGGCACTTACTATAGCAATGTGTGATGGTGTGCAACATGATATGCATGTGCCACGTGTTGTTTGAGCGCAGGTCGGATCTGGTGTGGGCGTATTCTGTGCGGATGCAGCTGTTGCGGGATCACCCTTCCCGACCACCGGTAATTGGCATTGATAGCGTGCGTTGTTTGTCGATGAGGTTATTTTGTTGACGTATCTCTACTGTGTATCGGAAACTCCTTTCGTAGATGCGGTGTCTTCGCCATTTGGTTGATCTGTTCGTTGTGTTCGATTTGATCGGCCGAGGAGGCTGTGTCCTTGTTGCTAGTCCCACCCTCAGTTGCTGCTGTTGCTGTTGCGGGGGTGCGACGACAGCTCCTTGAGGTTTGTATAGTGGAAGCTGTACTTACAATCTCAGATCTATTTTCTGCTGTTTTTCGCTCTTCATTTGCCTCGGTTTCCCAGTTTCAGCGACGCACGCTACGCTCCTTTTGGATGTTTGGCCGCGTACCCTATTTTGGTCCTTCCGGATTTACGTATCGTGGGGAGCTCTTTTTCGTCGGATTGGTGATACTATGTGCTCTGACTGTGTGTTCAACATGCAGCTTGTTGTTCTCGTCGTTTTGGTTCAGGATCATTACCTCAATACTAGTCTGCTTGCAATCATGGCTTCACGCTGAGCTGTCTATCGGTTGTGAGTGGCCTTCCTTATCCCTGTTTTCCTTTGTCGTCAGGCCATGTCCTCATGCCAGCTTTCCACGCGGCACTGGGAGATCGACGGACCTGATGGCTTCCATAGGTACGGGGTGTTGGTATTCGACAGCTCGCGAACCAATTTGCTGAATCAAGGGGAGATAACCAGGGTATTGGCCACTCTTGCTCGGGGCAGCTTTCTGGTTTAAGTAGCAGTCGTGGCTTGGCTGTTGAACAGCAGCATCTAAGGTTGTGACGTAAACGCTTCGCTGTTTGCACCACAGCATGTGTGGAAAGAGGCGGGTAGCTCTTTTAAGAGACCGCAATGACCGCGAGTATAGTGAGGAACAGGATGCATGTTGTGTCCCAAGTTTGACAAATGTCAAGGCGTTTGGTTTTGAAATGGAATCAACGACTCTCGGAAGGAGTCATGCTTGGGACAACCACCCTCCCATGTTTCCCGTAGGGCCAACTGCCACGGAATTTCATGTCACGGCGTGTGTGTGAAACGCTTTCGGGTGAGACGTTTGGGGCGTCAAGATGACAGACAAGCGTTGCCTCGAACTGGACCCCTAGAGGAGCCATCCTGTGCAACCCTGGATCGGAGCTCTTGAGTTGAGAGAGCTAGGATCAGTAGCAGCTCGACGGTAAATACATCGCATTAGACGAATTGCATCAATTTGATCACTGCAAGACCCATTGGTATCAAGCGTTGTTGGTGGAGTGGAGATGTCGGATTCTGTTGCTAGTGACCCTGGTCGAACGCTCTATCATTGTGGTGGACGCTCCTACTCCATTACGTCGGGCTGCATTGCTGTCGAAGATAACGTTCCGCAGATGCATCGACCAGTTTTGGCACTTTTATCTTTGTGAATCAATCGTCTTTTCCATCGGGCGAAAGGAAGACGCGCTCACTCGAGTCTTCTAGCCAAGCTTGCCGAGTGGTTCCCTCACAACCGTTCATGACATCTTAGGGAAGTCTCCGGGGATGGCGTGATCGGGATGCATCCTACCCTGCGGGTAGCAGCTCCTTCCGCCGGGGATGTTCGGGGCGAGGAAAATGCCGGATTTTTCGAGTATCAAAGTATCACCACTTTGGAAAGGACTCCAGGTAAGGGCTTACTGTGGCAAGAGGGATTATATATCGTCGCCACGCACGGGAAGATGTGTGGGCATGCGACAACAACCTGCAAATGTAGCCGCCTTCAGGGCTTGCTGCCAACCGCGCACCCGTTTCACGGAGGATGATTTTTCTTGGTGCAGGTAGTGCTTGCAGCCGCACTGGCTTGCCCTTTTCTCAAGACTGTCCCTGCGCCTCCGCACAAATGCGCCGTCATTGGTCTTTGTTTTTGGAACACCGAGTAGGTTTTCCTCGTCCCCTAACCGAGCTGCCGAATGAATAACAGCAGATCACCCTTCTCCCGCAGGCACCATGGGAGGCCACTTTAGCTTCACGCCGCGCGACCTCAATTCGCCGAGAGGAGCTCAGTTCAACGCCCGCGTGCCCACGTTTCACTTGGTGGAGCCCACGTTCTTGTATTAGGTTGTCGGCGCAATTGTCGAAGATGCCGTTTCCTGGTGAACGCATTTCCTAAGAGCCGACGGGGTGTACATTGCACATTCTCACCGAATACGGTGGATGTCCAGAGTACGGGCCTCTAGCACTGGCTCTGCCTGTTGTTTGTGTCCAAAGCTCATGCTGTGGCGAAACCGGTTGCTCATCGAGTCTTCGCCCTGCTTACCATACATCAGGAATATGTACACAGTGTGGTCATTTTAGTTATCTTTGCTTGTATTGCGAGGAAGGCAACATAACTTTTTTGGTGTGTGTTTTCAATTGCCTTTTGTAGCAAGACGTGCAGGATGTGATGTGATTCTGGACCAAGAGAGCGGTTAAAGTACGTTGTTCGTCTGTGTGTTCCCCTGCACCAAGGTTGCGTTTTTCAAGGTGCTGGTGGGCGCCGGCGTTTGGGCGAAGCCCATGGTTTTCGTTTTTTTTTGCAACCGAGGATACGTCCTACTAACAGCTTCTTTCCAACTCTTGGAGAGTAGACGGGCGGGGTGGGATTCGGGAAGATCGGAACAATCAGGCCATCTAACATCGGGGGCGCTTGGTGCCTTGATGTTGGAAGTACGTAGGACGTCCTACCAGTGTACCAGTATTTGTTTTGCGAAGAAGTGGCAGCGCAACCCAGTTGACTCAGCGCGTGTATCGGGAGGAGGTTTGGCGCCGAAAACGAGAGAGCAACGGTCCAAATGGCCCCGGCTAGACTTCGCCCGCGGGTGGCCATCGCAAGGACTTTGATGGAATACGAAGCAAAGATGCCAACATGGGTGTGCCTCCGGTGATGCTTCCAGGCAGATCCGCTTGTCATCCATCACACCGAACCAACAGATTTATTTTGTTTTCCCTTGGTTCGGTGTGATCGGTGACAACTCTGATCATTTCAGGGCCGTGGTCGCATTTGTTCATTTTCCCCCACAACCGATGGTGTGCGTATTACGGCAGGAGTACATGGACAAACAACGTAGAAATGGACCAAAGATGAACCGACTTCGCAGTAGTAAGGACATCCCACACAGGGGCATGAGTCCGCTTGTCGTCGTGGTGGGGGTGCATGGATGGACGAAACGACGAAATTAACGTGCGTTCGTTTCGTCATAGTATCAGCAACGTGCTGTCGAACGGATCCTCCCCAAGCGGATAGTCTAACGTCGCCTCTAGATGCTACGTATGGATGAGAGTTGGCACCCACACCGCGCATTATTCAAACACCACACCTTTCGACACACGCACATACCATCTATTCAATCAACATACATACGCACGCCTCGCGGCGGAAACCTTGTTTTCCGCCAAGAGAAAATCGAAAATCTACAACAACATATCCGTGCAGGGGGTGCAAACTACACGTTCTGTAGAGAGCGACCTTGCGTCTTGCTTCATCGCAATCGTCTGACCGAGACACTGACCAGAAAACAAGAGTTACATTGTCTGTTGTGAGCACTCGGCAGCTGCCCAAACCTCCAGGAAGATGTAGCGCCAAACAAGGGGCGGCGAGATCGGGCAGGGGGTGCAAACGCCTGCACGCACTTCGCGAACCCCCCGAAAAAACATGTGGGTAATAAGGCTGACTCTTATGGCTCCCCATAGTTGGCCCGACGGATTTTTTTGGACGGGCATACCCCCCCCCCCCTGATTTCGACCAAAAGACAGACCTCTCACCACATCACCACAGAGTTCTCCCTCCATGATTGTCGGGTCATCACCAACCAGAACTTGAAGGCTGTACGCACCACACCT